AGCGGAAAAGGGCGGACACCACCAGTCAGACCTGGGAGACAAACGAATAGAAATGTTGCATGGCCAACGGAAAAGGGGGGACACCACCAATGACAGACCTGGGAGATAAATGACTTGAGGCCAGGGGAGGAGGTCGAAAGCTAGCCGAATCGCACCGGATGTACTGGTTACATAGTCGGCAAAGCATGTAGTGATTACATGTTTTGGGAGAAAGGTTGCTACGTACATACTTTGCGCTGAAGAATGTAAATGCGACATCGCCGACTGGGAAGGGTACATTGGAACAACACGGGTGCACTCGTTGGCAGGCACGAAGATGCGTGATCGGCAAATCTGGGGGGTAAATTTACCCCCCGCTTTTGTATGCCTTGGGTCGAAAAGAGGGGTAAGCATTTCTGGATATTTCTGGCATCACAAGGATTGTGCATACACTAGGGCGTCCGCAGTGTAGGATAAGCACTGGTAAAAGGTATAAGGAGTAGAGTGTCTTGAGGAAATAGCCGGCTTATGGTTATGGCAACTCTGGGGGGTAAATTTACCCCCCGCTTATGCATGCATTAGTTTAGAAATAGGGGTAAAGAACTTGTAACAGTGAAGTTCAAGTCCTACGCAGCAAGCAGCAGCCACCAGCAGCAGCAGCAGCAGCAGCCAGCAGCAACCACCAACCAGCAGCCAGCCAGCAGCACCACGCAGCAGCAGCGCAGCACCAAGCCGCAGCAGCAGCAGCAGCACCACCAGCAGCAAGCAGCACCACCAGCAGCAAGCAGCAAGCAGCAAGCAGCAAGCAGCAGCAGCAGCAGCAGCAGCGGTGCTGTCAGCAACAGCAGCAGCAGCACCAAGCCGCAACAAGTAGCAAAGCAGCAGCTACAAAAGCGGCAACCAGTGGCAGCAGCAAACAGCAGCAGCAAGCAGCAGAGCGGCAGCAGCAGCACCGTTTACACCAAGCCACCGTTTACACCCAACCAACCACGTTCACACGTTCAACCAACCCCCGCTACACAGCGCAGCTGGGAATCGAACCGCGGGGGGGAGGGGAGGGGGGGTGGTTAGTGTGATATATCAAGCTTTAAGGCACACAGCTCATCCCACTACCAATTGCTAAAGCAAAGAAGAACTCAGCTAGCATGCTAGCTCTCGTGAATAGAAATGCTACATGGCCAGCGGAAAAGGGCGGACACCAGCAGTGACAGACCTGGGAGACAAACGAATAGAAATCCTACGTGGCCAGCGGAAAAGGGCGGACACCAGCGTGACAGACCTGGGAAACAAATGAATAGAACAATAGATACAACTGTTACGTGGCCAGCGGAAAATGGCGGACACCAGCAATGACAGACCTGGGAAACAAATGAACAGAATTCCTGCATGGCGGAAAGCGGCGGACACCACCAGTGACAGACCTGGGAGACAAATGAATATAGACGTCGCATCGCCAGTGAAAAAAGGGCGGACACCAGCAATGACAGACCTGGGAGACAAATGAATACAAATG